CCCTCTCTCTATATTGTGGGCCATTGTTTAGAGGTCCGTCAAGTAGTTCCCACTCCCCAACAGTGTCGTAACTGCTGGCATTTTGGGGACCCCCGCTAAACACTGCAGATCTGTGACAGAATGCCCGATCTGCGGTGCAGATCATTCCAATACATCTTGTAGTCTTTCCCCCTCTTGTCTCAATTGCAAGGAACCTCGTCCTTTCTTTTCTTGCCGTTGCCAGGTCTTTCGTAATGAACGAGAGATCTGTTACCTTAAAGAGTGCAAGGGCCTTGCTTACACTATGGCAGTCTCTCGGCTCCACCTTCAAGGAAAACTTCCTTGTCCCCCATATGCTTGAGTAGCCCGCAGACCTCTGACCTCACCAGTTCTCCCGCCTCCCAAGCCCTCTGCTTCTGTGTCTTCCAGGGTCACCCCAGTTTCTAATGCTTTAGCAGTTTTATCCGCTTGCACTTCTACCTCCGCACCACTTTCTACTGCTACTTTTTCATCTCGCTCGCTTACTTCTCAGTCTACTAGACCTCGCAGACCTACACTTTCTTTGCGTCCATCACTTATATAGAATTTATCTTCTATGTCAGAGACTAGTTCTCACCCCTTTCCAGCTCTCACACAAAGGTGGAAGTTCACCCCCTCCCCAGTCTTCTTCCATAGTTACCCTCCAACCTCCCTCCTCTCCTGTTAAACTGCAGAACTTTTCTCCCCCAGCCAACGCATCTCTCCAGACTCATACTCCCCGCCCCCCTCAAACCTCTTTGGTTGCCTCCATAGTTACTCCAACTGTTACTTGCATTGCCTCTCCTGTCTCTGACATTATGGCATCGTCGGCTTCCTTATGAACTGAGATGTTAGACTATCTCCGGCTATATAGTGGAGACGACACCCCCGATGAACTCCAACATGCCGCCTTCTACTCCTCCTATTTCACGACCCATGCAACAATCTATTCCTCCGCAATATTCTAATTCTTCCTTGCTTACACGCTTAACGTTACCCCCACACGTTAACTTTACTGATCCTAAAAGCCCATAGGTTTTATCGTGTCTTATTGTCATTTTTATTTCTGTACATAATGTCTCTTTTTACAATGGAATATTCGTGGCCTTAGGGGCAATCGAGAAAAACTCTAGTTGTTGCTCTTTCGGTTATCCCCAGTATGTGTTGGGTTGCAAGAGCCCAAAATTCGTTCTGCTGTCATTTGCCTCGTTTCGGGCTACTTGCTGTTACGTTCTTTCGATCTTTCCAGTATCTGTTAGATTCCATTCATCACCAAGGTCTCCGTCTGTGCCTTGGTGCCTTTCGTTCATGCCCTGTTGAGAGCCTCTATGCAGAAGCAAATATTTCATCCTTGTCCAATTGCCGTGATGCTCAATGCCTTCACTATTAGGTTCGATCTCATGACCTCCACAATCCTTCCGTACATAGGATGGTCACTGATGTTAGTAGACATTCTTTATTTGTTCGTCGCCCCTGTTTACTCCACCCATTTTCTCTCCACCTCCATTCACTCGTCTTTTCTTCACTTTTCTATGTTCACGTAACATCTCACTTTTCCCTGCACCCTTGGGAAGTTCCAGCTGCTCGTGTCGGTTCTTTCCAACTGCCATGCGCAAAAGCCCAACTACCTATGGTAGCTTCCCGCTCTCTTTTTCTCGACCACTTCCGCTCTCATTCTCATGCCATCGCAGTGTACACAGATGATTCAAAGTCTTCTGACAGCGTCAGATTCACAGCAGTGTTTCCGGACAGTGTCGCGTGAGGACGTTTATTATCCTCAGCTAGAATTTTTATGGCTGAATTGTATGCCATTCTTGTAACACTTACCGTATAGCATCTATGCCTGTGTCACTATTTGTAGTCGTTTCAGACTCCCTTAGTGCTTTACAGGCTATACGAAAATTTGATTCACCTCACCCCCTAGTTCTTCGTATCCAACTCTGGTTACGCCGTATCTCTAGCAAACACAAAGATAGTTTTTTTGCTGGGTCCCTGGTCATGTTGACGTACAGGGCAATGAACAGGCAGACATTGCTGATCAGTCAGCAGTACATGACCTCCCAGATTCATATAGAGGTGTTCCATTCACAGACTATTTTGCTGAAATTGCTACCCACCTTCCCACCTGTTGGCAACAATGTTGGTCTGATCTGCTCCATAACAAACTTCATTCTGTTAAACTGAGTATAGGTTTCTGGCTATCTTCTTGTCATCACTGTCTAGGTTGGGAGACTACTCTCTCCCGTCTTTGCTTCGGCCACACTCATCTTACTCACGGGTATCTCATGGAGAGGCGCCCTGTTCCTCTCTGAGAATTGTCACATTTCAGTATCTGTTAGCCACATTCTGTTGGACTGTCCACTCTATCAACGAGCACACAGAATTTAACCTCCAATGTCGTCTCCACTCTGCTGCCCTTTCTTTACCTTCCCTTCCTGCTGATGGACCCTCCTTCAATCCAGACTCTTTCATTGACTTTTTGACAGCAACTGATTTACTACACAAACTCTGATGATGATGCTTCTAGCACTCTCTTCCATCCTTTCTACCTTAATCTCTAGCTACCCTCTACCCCTGCACTATCCACTGCCCTGCTGCACTCCATACCCTAATAATCATCCCTCTCCCTCTTGCCACCCATTTCCCCTGCATCCTTCCCTGCCCTGCTGTGCTGTGTAACCCTTGCGGTGTAGCGCTTCTTTTTTATTATAATATAATCCCCCTCACTTCTGATCCCCTCTCCACCTAGCTGTTTATAGCCCCAGCACTGTTTTCTACCCAGAAGCGCTGCATGACCCTTGTCAGTTTAGCACTTTATTTTGATTATAATAATCACTGAGGTAGGCGACACAAAAAAGAAACTTGTCATCATTCACTCCATCACTTTCTTGCCAGAGGCATGCAGACACTACAGTTCAGATGCCCCCTCCAAACTTCAAATATCCCCACCCCTTCTTCAGAGTGCAAGTACTGTACTTTCAACCTCCAGGACTCAAGTCTGGCTAACCGGTTTTCATGAATCCCTCACAATGTTATCTTGCTCACACTCCAGCAGTTCAGGTCCCAAAAATCATTTGCCTCCACTCTTTTCTAAAATGCTCATACATGCCTGCTAGTTGTTCAAGCCCCTCGTGCACAAAACCTGCTTTACCCCCCTCCCTGCAACCTATTGTAGGGTGACCCCTTCCATGCTTTTCCTCCAGTGCAAATTTATATACCCTCCAAGTCATCCTCTAAATATCCATACCACCTCAACAACCCCTCCTCAGCCTCTGGATAATACTTTTAGTAACTCTGCACCTCCTCCTAATCTCCAGCTGTGAATTTTCTTCATAATATTTACACCATGCATTGCCCTCAGACACAACATTTTTACTGCCTCCAGCCTCCTCCTTGTTGAAGCATTTACAACCCATGCTTCACACCCATATAAATGTGTTGATACCACTATACTCTCATACATTTCCCTCTTTGCCTCCATGGATAATATTCTTTGTTTCCAAAGAGGCCTCAGTGCATCACCCACTTTTTTTCCCTTCATAGTTCATCTTGTCTTTTATATACCCATCCACTTCCAAGGCTACTCCCAAATATCTGAAGACATTCACTTCCGCCATACTCCCTCCTTCCAGTCTGATATCCAGTCTTTCATTACCCAACTCGTTTGTCACCCTCATCCTATGTTTGCTTTTAATTTCATTCTTTTACATACCCTCTCAAATTTGTCCACCAGCCTTTGCAACTTCAGAATCTCCCAGAAGTACAGTGTCATCAGCAAAAAGTGCATATTTTAATCACAAACCTCTCCCCAACACCCTAGCATTTTCTTTTAAAATTCTGTCTATGTTAAACAACCATGGTGACATCATACATCCCTGTCTAAGGCCTACTTTTACTGGAAAATAATCTCTCCAACATACCCTAACCTGAGCCTCTTATCCCATAAAAACTTTTAACAGCATTCAGTATCCTACCACCTATTCCATACACTTGCAACATAAGCCATATTGCTTCCCTATCCACCCTTTCACTTGCCTTTTCTAAATCCATGAAAACCACGAGAACTTCCTTACCTTTATCTAAATAATGTTCACTCGTATGTTTCAATATAAACACTTGGTCTACACATCCCCTACCCTTTCAAAATCTTCCTTGTTCATCAGCGATCTTGCAAAGAGATATTATTCCTTATTATAGTGTTAGGAAGAATGCTTAAGGTAATTACACAGGAGAGAGGGCAAGTTTAGTAAACTGATTCAGGTTGAGAAGAAGAGAATGAGGGTGTCAACTGCTGTTCCCCCAACCTATCCCTCCCCTCCCTTTCCCTCCAAGGCCAACCATCTAGCCATCCTCCTGTCCTTCCTCACTTGCCAACTACTGAAGCAGATTAGACATAGATAACTTTGTAAAGAAGACAGAACAGCATAAAAAAATTAATCTACAATTCTTTATCAATCACTATCAAATGTTGGATGTGAGTAGAGCCTGCCTACCATGGGCCAGTAGGCATACTGCAGTGCTCTTACATTGTTTATGAAGGGTTTTGGATGATTATTTCTTTGTTTTTGTCATACGCATTGTGAAGTTTTCGTTGCTATTTTTGTGTTTGCAGTAATTGTTTTCCAAGTTTGGGCTAAATATATTTGTCATATCCATTTGACCCTTTTTAAAGCTCCTAAAAACACTAGATTAAGGATTTTTTGGCAATAAGCCAGGGGTTAACATATGAACTCGGTTATTCTAGATTATATATGCTATGTGAAAACCACACACACTGGAATTGTTTAGCAATTGTTCAGAGTATTCACTCATATTTTTTGAAAGCATAGTTGAGATTATTGTAGATTATAGTGTTTTGCAATCCTTATTGAGAACAGTAACATGATCTTAGTACTAGAGCAGTAACTGCAGATATTTTTCACCCTAATACAAGCATAGAAATTTTTAATATTTTTGAGTTTTGCTACTAAATTTGATGCTTTTTTTTATTTCCCGTGATCTAGATACGATGAAAATGGAAATTGCAATGGTGTAGCAAGCTGCGATCCCCCTGTACCAACACGTCTTAAGTGGGAACTAAACCAAGAATGCCTACAGGTCATAGATTCTTCCTTCAGGGTAAGTATGTATTAGTAGCAGCAAGGGAAGATATCATACACTAAACATCTATAGATACATGCTCACTTTTAACATATCTTTACCATGAAGTGATTGAACACCATTTAGCTATTAAACCAACAGGCTTGTGCCTAGGGTTTTTTTTACATTGTTGATTCCATTAATATTATTTTTTTATTTTTATCATAAATTCCAGTTTGCATATCCTCCACAAGATGCATTTTAAAAATGCTGCATCGCCATTATTTTTTAAAATTATGTTCTTGATTGTTCTTTGGTTGATCATTTCTACTTTCATGGGAAAGTGGAACAGAATTCTTCCTCCGTAAGCCATGGGTGTTGTAAGAGGCGACTAAAATGCCGGGAGCAAGGGACTAGTAACCCCTTCTCCTGTATATTTTACTAAATTTAAAGAGAGACTTTCATTTCTCTTTTTTTTTGTGCCACCCTACCTCCTTTGGATCCCTTGCACCCATGGCATGAAATAATTTCCCTGATTTAAACTCCTGCCACAACCTTAGTGTCCATTAAGGGAACTTAATTTTTTTAGATACTTATGTCCCGATATCAATGAATTTGATTATTTTAATCAGTTTTTGTACTCATGGTGGCTGAATTTCAGGATTAAAGAAATTTTGTAACTTGAATAGTTTCATTACATTCATGGTATAATACTGACAAGTTGTGTTGAAGTTTTATGATAATTTATCATTAGACTATTACCAAAATGCCTGACAGAAGTTATAGCATACGTATATCAGGGTGGCCAAAATGTCAATTGCAATCTACCAGTAGATTGCAGATCAATTTCTAGTAGCTCATAATATGTCCAATAGCCTTGCTTGGTGCCAAAGTTTTTACATTACAGTACACAACACTTACTCTTAAGCACACAATCCAACCACTACCACCAAAAGTTAGCATTCTTTATCACCTCCATTATTGTTAGCAGCATTTATATGTTTTCTTTGTAATTATGAATCATTTAACAAGAAATAATTAGCCTGTTTATTGCCTGCAAATGGTGATAAGTCAAAAAACTGGGCTGTAGTTGATTGCCTAGAGTAGATCCCATCACACTAAAGTGTAGCCACCCCTGCACTACTATATATCAACACTGTAAGTCATCTTCCTTGTCTCCAGTTTCTGCACTGAAATATAAATACAGTGGACCCTTGGTTATCGGCCATAATCCATTCCAGAAGGTCGGCCTAAAACCAAAATGGCTGAAAACCGAAATATTTCCCATAAGAATTAATGTAAATAAAATTAATCCATTCCAGACACCAAAAATATTAACAAAAATACATTTTTTGAAGATTATAGTTTTACATATATAAAACAATGAGAACTAAATAAAATAAATACATGAACAATTAAATCACTATTACGTACCTTTATTGAAGACTTTTTGGCTTATGGAAGATAGGGAGGAGGAGAGAGGGAGTTGGGGTTATTGTTTGGAAGGGGACTCCCCCTCCATAAGGACTTCAGGTAACTAGCCCCTCTCTGGGGTTACTTCCTTATTTGTTTTTTAATGCCACTAGAACCAACTTGAGTCATTGGACCCCTGTCGCACAAAATAACTGTCCAGAGTGCTCTGTTTCTGGCATCTCTCTAAGATTTCCCTGAAGTGGGACAAGGTTTTGTCACTTATGTTGCAGATATGGCTTGTTTCAGCTTGGTCTGGGTGATACTTTTCAACAAAACTTAGCAACTCATTCCACTTTGCACACATGTCCTTAATCACTGAAGAAGGCACCTTCTCCCCTCTCTCCTCTCTCTTTTCCTCCTCTGGAGCAATTTCCTCAGCTGCAGTCTGATGCTGTTCCAGTTGAAGGTTTTGCAGCTCTTCAGTGGTTAGCTCTTCCCTGTGGTGCTCCACCAACTCTTCCACATCCTCGCCACTCACATCCAACCCCATGAATGAAAATGCCACAATAGATTTCACAACAGGTGCAGGGTCCTTAGGGTTGGCCCCAAACCCTTCAAAATTCCTCTCTTGGATATAGTCTGACCACATTTTTCTCCAAGCAGAGTTCAAAGTCCTGGAAGTCACTCGATGCCAAGCCTTACCTATAAGGCTTGTGCAATGGAGGATACTGAAGTGATTCCTCCGGAACTCTCTTAGGGTCAAATGAGTGTCCAAGATCACTTCAAAGCACCTTTGCAACACTGCTTTTGTGTAGAGTTTTTTGAAGTTAGAAACAACCTGCTGGTCCATGAGCTGGATGAGAGGAGTGGTGTTGGGAGGCAAGAACTTCACTGTTATAAAATGGAAATCCCTAAACAATTGGCCTTCTAAGTCTGGAGGATGAGCAGGAGTATTGTCCAGTACCAGGAGGCACTTAAGTGGCAACTTTCTTTGGGGCCATGGTTATTTACTTCCCAGTTGCACTTAATCAATAAACACAAAAACCAATGAATTATAGCGAAATGTTTAGATGAATGAGCAGAAGCTGCCTTACTCGCCCAGAGACAAAGCCAGACTGACGTGTGAGCAGTTGGCAGCAGCGAGTTGATGCATACCATATGGCCGATAAGCAAAATAATGGCCGATAACCAGGAGCTGAAAACCTGGCCGATAACCGAGTTGGCCGATAAACGGAACAGCCGATAACTGAGTGTCTATGTAGATTCGTTATGGCTAATCATACAAGAAATTATGGAACTAATGGCTGTTCTAAAATTTCATACCTACCTAAAAGAATAACCATGAAGTAACTTAAGCTTATGGTTGAAAAGGTGAGAGGAACAATTATTGAAGCTTTTTCTTTTTCTCAACACGTTGGCCATCTCCCACCATGACAGGGTGACCCAAAAAGGAAAGAAACACTTTTTTAAAGTGCAGGCATTGTACTTACCACCTCCAGGATTCAAGTCTGGCTAACCGGTTTCTCTGAATCCCTTCACAAATTATTACCATGCTCACACTCCAATAGCTTATCAAGTCCCAAAAACCATGTCTCCATTTACTCCTATGTAACACACTCACACGTGCCTGCTGTATGGCAAAGCCCCTTGCACACAACCTCTTTTACCCTCTTCCCTCCATCCTTTCCTAGGATGACCCCTACCCCTCCTCCCTTCCACTACAGATTTATACACCTCCAAGTTGGCCAATTTTGCTCCATCCTCTCTAAATCAAACCACTTCAACAACCCCCTCCTCAGCCCTATGAATACTTTTAGTAACTCCATACCTCCTAATTTCCACACAATGAATTCTCTACATATTTACACCACACATTGCCCTTAGACATGACATCTTCTCTGTTACAAGTAACTGACTTAAGTTTTTTTTTTTTTTTTTTTTTTTTTTTTTTTTTTTTTTTTTTTTTTTTTTTTTTTTGTTAACAAGTCGGTCGTCTCCCACCGAGGCAGGGTGACCCAAAAAGAAAGAAAATCCCAAAAAAGAAAATATTTTCATCATTCAACACTTTCACCTCACTCACATATAATCACTGTTTTTGTAGAGATGCTCAGAATACAACAGTTTAGAAGCATATACGTACAGTGGACCCCCGCATAGCGACCTTAATCCGTGCAAGAGGGCTGGCTGTTATGCGAAATGTTCGGTATGTGAATGAATTTTCCCCATAAGAAATAATGGAAATAAAATTAATCCGTGCAAGACACCCAAAAGTATGAAAAAAAATTTTTTTTACCAGAAAAAAATGTTAATTTTAGTACACACAAACTGAAAAAGGCATGCACAATTACATGACACTTACTTTTATTGAAGATCTGGTGATGATTGATGGGATGGGAGGAGGGGAGAGAGTGTGTTAGTGTTTAGAAGGGGAATCCCCTTCCATTAAGACTTGAGGAGGCAAGTCCTTTTCTGGGGTTACTTCCCTTCTTCTTTTAATGCCACTAGGACCAGCTTCAGAGTCACTGGACTTCTTTCGCACAACATATCTGTCCATAGTGGCCTGTACCTCTCGTTCCTTTATGATTTGTCTAAAGTGGTTCACAACATTGTCATTGTAACAGTCACCAGCACGGCTTGCAATAGCTGTGTGAGGGTGATTTTCATCAAAAAAGGTTTGCACTTCAAGCCATTTTGCACACATTTCCTTAATCTTTGAAGTAGGCAATTCCTTCAATTTCTCTCTCCCCTCCTTTGAACCAGTTTCCGCAGGTCTGGCCTCTTGCTCTTGAAGTTGATCTATCAGCTCATCAGTGGTTAGTTCTTCATTGTCCTCCTCCACCAACTCTTCCACATCATCCCCACTAACCTCCAACCCAAGGACTTCCCCAATGCCACAGTTGATTCCTCAACTGGTATACTCCTCTCAGGGTTAGCCTCAAACCCTTCAAAATCCCTTTTGTCTACACATTCTGGCCACAGTTTCTTCCAAGCAGAGTTCAAGGTTCTCTTAGTCACTCCCTCCCAAGCCTTACCTATAAGGTTTACACAATTGAGGATATTAAAGTGATCCTTCCAAAACTCTTTTAGAGTCAATCGAGTGTCTGTGGTCACTTCAAAGCACTTTTGAAACAGAGCTTTTGTGTACAGTTTCTTGAAGTTGGAAATGACCTGCTGGTCCATGGGCTGCAGGAGAGGAGTGGTATTAGGAGGCAAAAACTTCACCTTAATGAAGCTCATGTCCCCATAAAGTCGCTCTGCCACGTCTGTAGGATGACCAGGGGCATTTGTCTAACACCAGGAGGCACTTAAGTTCTAATTTCTTTTCAGTTAGGTAATCTTTGACATTGGGGGCAAATGCATGGTGTAACCAGTTATAGAAAAAGTCCCTAGTGACCCATGCCTTACTGTTTGATCTCCACAGCACACACAAATTATCCTTGAGGACATTCTTTTGCCTGAACGCTCTGGGAGTTTCAGAGTGATACACTAATAAAGGCTTAACTTTGCAATCACCACTAGCATTGGCACACATCAACAAAGTAAGCCTGTCTTTCATAAGGCTTATGTCCTGGGAGTGCCTTTTCCTCCTGAGTAATGTAGGTCCTGCTTGGCATTTTCTTCCAGAA